TAAACTACTACTTGTACTACTATCCCCACTTCGCGGTTTTTCACTTATCTTCAGGGTATGGATCTCCAGCAATAAACGAGGGACTACTGTATATACATTCTTGCATTCATGGAGCCTTTCCAGATGAGCTACCCTAGCAAGATGCACTAATGCACACCCATACCATCAGAGACGCAGGTTTTTGAACTGTGCACTGATAACGGGCTGGATGGTCTCTCCCCTCTAGGACACAGCATCAGTGGTTTCCAAATAGAATGTCGTTTGAATTTATTTGATCACAGAACAGTTCTCCACTTTGCCTCAGTCCGTTTTGAATACGCTTTGGATCAGAGAAGACGGAGGCGTTTCTGGAAGGCGTTCACATTTGGCTTCTTTTTGCATAACGGAGCTTTAAGCAATATTTGTAGACGGCACGGTGAACTGTGTTTACAGCGTTCCCGAGCCCATGCAGTGATGTCCAGAACAGAACCCGAATCAAAAGACATCCAAATTATTGAACTATTATGATATTGTAAACTGTAGATGACGGGATATTAAGTGTTCCACTTTTTTCATTAAAGAACATCAGTCTGCCCATCTTCTGAGACATTCGGACTCTAAAATGCTCTTTTTATGCTCTAATGACCTGATGTTTTATGTTCCACTGCAAATAAATTATGGATTTATGAGCTCAGCAAATTTACATTTTACACAACGTCCCAACTTTCTCTAAGCTGAGGTTGTATTATCTACTGCAATGTTGAAAACGCAGTATGCCTGTAGCAATGACTTGTAATCTTGTGTGTTTGTTGCAGATGGCGAATGCAGAGAGCACCATTTTGCAAATAGAAGCTCTGTCTGAAAGCATCAACAACCTCACAGTAAGCACCAACACACACAAGCTGCTGGTTAATGACTCATGCGGCTCGCTGCTTGTGGTTTGTCGTAACAGAAGTTCAAATCTCTTCGATCGAAAAATCTGCTGATAATTGGAGGGAAAATGCCTTTTAAACATTACAACTGCGGAAATGAGAGAAAAACTATGACTGTTGGTGTGAAACGGACTTTTTGGTACTTTTTATTCCATCGTTGTATTGCAGCTGGGCTTCTTTTGCTTCGGTTCTGTTTGCTGAAGTAATAACTTAAGAACCGAACCATGAGGCTTTGGATGATCAACACTGAATTTTTTTGGACCTAAATCATCTAAGTGAAGCTTTACTTCTAACAAATTAGAGCAGATATCACAATTACTTAACTTTTTGTTTTTCCATGTCAATATAAAATACAGTAATGTGCAAATTTTAAACCATAGCTTTCAAGCAGCCAGACTTTCTTGTGATCTTTTGTCGTGGGCTTGATTCTAGTTTACCAGAATTTCTAAAGGTATTTCAGTTTTACTTTGCACTTAGGCTGCTTTTTTTGTACCCCGCTGTTATGAAACAGGACTAATCATTTCATTGAGCGCATATCTGTTAGCAAAAGATCTCAAATTTTAATGAAACTAAAAGGAAATCAGCCTTAGCAAACACAAAATGGCTAAAAAAATCATCAATCAAGCCATTTTTTACAGATGGTAGTGGCTGAGGGTCATTCTCAGCACCTACTTTGAGAACAAACAGATTACACATGATCTTTGTGGGAAACTGGTATGAAAAGTAGGGTGAGGTGACTATTAAATGAAGAAACTCCTCTGGAAAAAGTCAAAAACAGCAAAAATCAAATAAAAAACTTTGAAAGGCCTACTGGTTAAAACCACGTTTAAATATTTCAAGAAAGTCAGGCTTCATTGAAGCAAATTAAAGACTTGACAAATGATTCAAGACTTTTGCACAGTACTGTATTCTGTTAATCTGAATAATCTAAGTGCATGGCATGACTGACTTGGGATCAGTTCTCTTTACACAGCGTATTCTGACAGGCATTCTTAGAATGACCTCCGTATTCAAATTAAAACGTTCTTCTTTTGGCAGAAACCAGATGGTTTGAAGTCTCTTCAGAAATGTTTCATATAATAAATGATCCCAAATGAAAGAAAAGTCTCTCATGGTGTTTGATTACTGCGCATTAAAAACACATTAAAGCTGCTTTTACTGATCCCAACTCAGCAGAAAAAGTCCCGAGCTTTCTGACACGCTCCCACTCCCATGATGCTTTGCCTCCAGTACCTGCTCAGCCGAGAAGAGCTGCGGAAGGAGCTGAGGCGGTCTCGGACGGCGCTGGTTTGAGGGACGGTGACCCGGCGATGTGGGTTTATTAACGCAGTTGGAATGACCGCAGCAACCTGAAGCCACAGCGTGGAGCCAGCTCACTTCCTGTAACCACTGATACCTCGTGTAACGCCTCCACACTGTGGACTGATTTACAGTCAAGAGGCTCAGGCTCTTAAAAACATTTAAAACCTCTCAGCACCTTTCCATGTCTCATTATGTAACAACCTTTAAAGGTGCTCACTGCAAACTGAAATCATACAT